TGGAAAGTGTCCGCCGTAAGTCTAACACCAACCATAACCCTTACCTCCGGTGTTCTTTGTTTGCCAATAACTGATATCATCTCAAATTGTCTTAAAGTAATATGGATTTGGTAGTGAATATAGAATTGACTGTCCGGATGAGATAGACCAAGTAGTCGCTTGAGAAAACCTAATCCGATATCGTGGTTTGTGTTAGGCTGAGTATTCTAGTTGTACTACGACTACGGAATTTCTCATCGCGGACCAAAATAGATAGATACACATATGAGTTGTGAGAACGTACCTCACTGTTGTTCTTCCTCTACTTGTGAATGAACAATACTGGCTGGCATTTGCAGTAATCGTTTCTAAATGATGTATTCCGCCGAACCAGTTCGACCTTTATCGAACGTCATTGGTTGTACGGAGCCACAGTTAGCTTGATTCGGAGAACTGTATGGGAAATGTGAAAGCCAATGAGCAGATCACATGGAGACGAGGCAGGAAGATTTCCGCAGAGCCATTAGATAGAGTAGGTGTCTCTCATCTTCTGGATTGAATTACAAAACACTCGGGAACTGGATGGGTCGAGACAAGTGAAGGCCACTTGAATTCAGGTAACCGACAGAAGTGGCGTTCTTCTTGTCTCCCTTTTATCAGACTGGAATGTTTGAAACAGTGTGTCTTTCTGTGTGATTGCATACGTTTGTGCCAATTTGTACTGTATACTCTGTCTGTGTTGACAGCAAAAGGGCCCAATCCACCTCAACTTCCCACATTCCCAACTGCTCTGAATGCAATGGGAGTTTGGCGGCGACTATTGATTTTTCCTTCATTGTGTTAGGTCATACGAAGAGGATTTTATTCAAATTGATGATGATGATGATGATGATGTTTGCTTGGCCAACCTGTGATTCCTTTCGCAATGGAAAAAAATTTGCGAAACATAACTACTTCTGTGTTCGTCTGCGAGTCGGCAAAAGATCTGCCTTGATGTTCTCAGAGCGCATCGTGCTAAATTCAGTCCACTGCACTATTCGATCGGGGTTCCGCAGCCTCAGAACAGATAAATTTTCTCAAATCGAATATTATACGACAACTGTCATGCTTCCTACACTCTCCCATGTCTTCCACAATCATCATTTATCGGCTTCTCTAGCAGTTCCACATGTTTTTCCGTGCACGCTTTCTTTAGCACACAAATCCTAATATTTAACTGCCCCAAATTTCTTTCGACAAAGTGATCCTACTATTTCATATCAAGGTCGATTCATTAAATCCTTGGAAATCTCCCTACTCATGAGTAATTTCATGCCCAATTGTTATCTCAATTTTACTTCGCATTCAAACTTCAAACTTAGCCGGGCTAACGTGATCATCAGTGAGCAGCGCAAATAGTTTTATGCCCAAATTAAGAATGCTGTCAAGTGTTGACATTGGATGAACACTGGGTGCAAACAGTTACTGAGCTGCTGCTGCCGCCAAAGTCAGCAAGGAACATGTGGATCATGACATGTGCAGCAAACAAGAAACAAAGTGATGAATAATTTTTCATCGTTTTGCGAATAAAGGGGCTCAGA